GTGGTGATGGTGGGGGGAGGAGGCGTGGGAGGAGGAAGCCACGCGGCCAACTCACCTCCTCCTCACCCGCCGCAGCTAACTGTCATGCCTCACCCGGCGTCGCTGGTTCACCATATACCAACCATGGTACTGTGATGGAGATAGACAGACAGACAGGCAGGTGTGAGACAGACAGACAGACAGGAAACGAATCAAAACGAGCCAGTACTGACTCGAACTACAAACTGAAGAACGTTTATTGTTTATTTCCAAACGTAAACTCACACGTCGGTCGGCGTCGCATTCACTGAGAATGAATCACTCTCTGCAAATGAATCACTCTCTGCAAATAAATCACTCACTGCGAATAAATCACTCTGCAAATGAATCACTCACTGAGAATGAATCACTCACTGAGAATGAATCACTCACCCGTTACTCCCGCGAGTAATGAGTGAGTGATTCATTCTCAGCGTTTATTTCCAAACGTAAACTCACACGTCGGTCTTGTTGCTTGCATGTTGACGTGTTGTCGCGTGGCTTCTGCTTCTCAATTTTTTCAGTCTTAACTCATCCACGTCACGACGATGCGCTTTCGTCTGCATGCTAACGGTTCTGTTAGCGAGAATTTGTAATGTGTGTAGATTATCGCTAGGGGGCGCTACAGTCAAAGAGCCGATAAGCGCTTCTTCAGCGGCTAGGCAAAGGGTTTATATTTTTCATTAAACTAACGTGTCTTTATTGGCCTCCGTGCGGCATGAATTTTGACGAAAATATGTTGGTTTTTTTTAAAGAGCAACACTTTTTTTGGGTGAAAATCTTAAACGTTTGTTACGTGACGTGCTGCATCAGCTGTCAAACATACTTTAACGTTAAAAACAGAATAACTTATTTAAAGCTAATCACAGGATATATTTATTTAAAAAAAAGTTATAGAGTAGATAATAATTTTCAGGTGGTGGTTTGTGCTCTTGTCTTGAAGCAAAAATTGGTTCAATTCCCTGAAGTGAATTGCCACTGCTGTGACTATAGAGGGCACTCCCGTACCACGAGAGGTACACACACTGTACCGTGGTTTGAAGTGAACGAATCAGCTAGTCCTTGTGTAAAAACTTCACCCTACAGTTCCTGCCCTCCACCTACAGGTGGCGGTAATGACTGTGTCTTAGCATGTAGAAAAATATCATCATATCCAGTGATGGAAAAACATTTATTTATGGGACTTTGGTGACTGCTAGCATTGCTAGCTGGATGCTAATGTATTACAGGAAGTTGTCGCAATGTTGTGATTAGCCTCAGCTTATTTAGTTTCTTTGAAGAAGTTATTAAAATAGGGCAGAGCCTGAAGTTCGCTGTTATTGAAATGTTTTATTATTATTATTATTTTTATTGTCTGTGGTTCTTTAAGTGGGAGCTGACCCAAATTGGGCTAAAAAGGTTTGTCCGATGAACCTGAACGACCGATCTTTGTAAAATGTTTTTACCCTGAGGTAAAAAATTTGAGAATATTTGGTGAAATATTCGAACGAACGAGAGTTAGAAACGAAGCGGAGATGAGACTGTGATGCCGGCGGTCGGCCCTCTTCTCTTCACCCCGTGTAAATAAGCTCCAAAAACTGTTGAAAGTTGAAAAGAGTCGAATATTATGCCCAGAACTGAATTCAAACGTCACTTTATGTCTTTACATATATGGCATGTGTATCACTTATATATGAAGTTTGCTGTGTTTATGTCTATGAAGGCGACGCATTGGCGCCGATATAATCATAATAAACTATCACTTTACCGCAACCTCTGCGTTATTCGTTCCTGCATGTGTGAGCTGTAGTGATGTGTCGTTCGCGAGTGTTTCGTTCAATATGAATGAATGTTTCGTATGACTCGTGACTCCCGAGGCACATGAAAGATTCGTTCACGTTGAATGAATCACTCACGAATCACTCTCTGCGAATGAATCACTTTCTGTCAGTGAATCACTCTCTGTGAATGAGTCACTCTCTGAGAATGAATCACTCTGCGAGTGAATCTTTCTGAGAATGAATCACTCTCTGTGAGTGACTCAATGAGAATGAATCACTCACTGAGAACGAATCGCTCTCTGCGAGTGAATCACTCACTGAGAATGAATCTCTCTCTGCGAGTGAATCACTCACTGAGAATGACTCACTCTCTGCGTGTGAATCAAAAACTGAGAATGAATGATCGGAGAACCGCAGTCATCTTTACAAGGCCCACAATAGGGCTACAGCGCCACCTGCTGTAAAATGAATGAAATGATTAGTTTACGATTGGTTCATTTTACTGTTCGAGAGCCAAAGATCCGAATCAGTAAAAAGAGTCGGTTTTCCCAACACGAAACAGACACATTTGGAGATGCTCGTCACTTTATTATAATGTTAATGATTGTAAAAAAAAAAACCTTACCGTCGTTAATTTTAGTGTTAGTATCGTGATACAATATTTTATAAACTGATACTAAAATTTCCGAAACAAAAAAATATCTTCAAACTGCCATCGTTAAATTCTGGTAAAATCAATAACGATAAAACGAAATAAATAAATAAATAAATGTAGTATCAAAAATAAATATAAATAAATAAATCGAAACATTTTCGCGTAGTAGCCGCGCACAGCCAGAAGCACAGAAAGTGAGTGGAACACCGTAACTCCGTAATCTCCCTCTACTTAAAATAAACAAATCCTTCTAGTCTTCAGGCGCTTGATTAAATTCATCGTAACAGCACGACTCCCACGTCCTCGTCTGTGTCCCTGAACTTTGGCTGAAGATAGTCAAATATTCGTAGAGGTCACTTGGGTATAAACTGATTAAAACGACCGCTGTACTCCGCAACTGTACTACAAACAGCAGAGTCAGGAGTTTGAACTCGATCCTGACATTTTTTATCGAACTTACTCTTTTTTTTCTTTTTTTTTCACCTCGGCTTCAATCGAATTTGATTTTTTTTCCAGTGAAAAGTCAACACTGTTGTGAAAGATCAGAAAACACAGCTTGGGTAAATTAACCTTTGGGATGTATTTCACAAATACACACAATTTCTACACAGCTAACTATTTACCAATATTTAGTAGATCAGTAACCAATGAGCTCTGACCATCTGCTGCCCGCAGAGGTTTTAGTCTTAAGTCCGTCAGTGTGGTTTGTCTTCATCCTCAGGATGAGAGTGTGTGTCCTCCTGCTGTGTTTAGGTGTCCTCTGCTGGAGGACGGACGCCGAGTCAAAATCGTAAGTGTATTTTTCTTCGTTCCAAGCGTGCGAGCGCGACTAGCTACGGGACTTTACATCTTATCACATATTTTTTTAGTGTCTAATTCAACAAAGACACGTTAGGACTGAATGCTTCTTGCGGGACGAGAAGTGTAGCCGATGTCTCCCTGCTGTGTTTTAAGCTAAGCTAGTTTTACACCGGAGACGATTCTGTTAGAATTTACAGGCGTAAAAAAGTATTGTCGTGTTGGCTTTATATATATTTCCTTTCATTAACAAAACATCCGAACGCATCATGATCAGCATGTGATGAATGTGCTCCCTCTAGTGGCAGGTGGGGGAACTAGATTCCTATTGTAATTACGTAAATTACTCGGTTAGTGAAATCACAACTGGTATTCTCCCTAGTGTGTGTATGTGTGTGTGTGTGTGTAAAACTGGTGCAACTATACTTGAGGGGACACTTTTTTCTTTTGGATTATTTTACAGGTCTCCTACAGTTTAGGCATATATTTAGCCATTCTGTGTGTTTTTGGAGAGTGAGGCAATTTTTTTTTAAAAATGTCAGAACCTCTGATGTTCCATATTGTGTTGCGGTATTTGCAGGTACTTGATTACTGCTCCTCTGTCACTGCGTTTGGATGCGGTGGAGACGGTGATGGTGCAGTTGTTTGGCTTCTCCGAGGAGGTTAGAGCTGTTGTGTACTTGAAAACCTCCATGGGTCAGAATTCTGTGGTCCTTGCTCAAGACGTTGTGATCCTCAACGCCCAGAACAACTATCAAAACGCGGTAAAACTCCGGGTAAGAGTCACAGGAAGACTATCTATCTATCTATATATCCAGCTACAGTAGCTAGCTGTTAGCTTTTGTTATAGAGAGCCTATTAGCGTTGTTGACAGTTAGCTAGCTTGCTCACTTACTCTATTATTTCTATCTATCTATCTATCTATCTATCTATCTATCTATCTATCTATCTATCTATCTATCTATCTATCTATCTATCCAGCTACAGTAGCTAGCTTGTTAGCTTTTGTCATAGAGAGCCTATTAGCATTGTGGATAGCTAGCTAGCTAGGTTGCTTTATCTATCTATCTATCTATCTATCTATCTATTTATCTATCTATCTATCCAGCTACAGTAGCTAGCTAGTTAGCTTTTGTCATAGAGAGCCTATTAGCATCCTGGATAGCTCGCTGGCTTGCTCCATCTATCCATCCATCCATCCATCTATCCTTTCCTATTTCTCTCCAGCTGTACCCTAATCGTCTGGATAAGACGATACAAAACGTGGTCCTTCATGTCTGGTCAGCGGAGATTAACAAACATCAGGTTATTCCTGTCAGTCGGGTCAACGGCTTCCTGTTTGTCCAGACGGACAAGCCGCTGTACACCCCCCAACAGCGCGGTAAGAGTGTGAATGATTTCTTTTCTTTCTTTTTTTTTATTAAGATGTTTAAAGCAGTCACTTTTTTTTAGCTTCCTTTTCACATGACAGCCGCTAGAGGGCACTAGTGTGACTTATAGTCTCTCTGAAGGCGACTCTGGTTGAATTTGATTGCTGCTCCCCAGGGAATAACTGAATTGTTTAAAAGCGTGTGTCTGTTTATGTACAACGACAACAAAGGTGATTCTTCTTCTTCTTCTAATTCTTCTTCTTGTATTTTCACGTGTCTCTAGTTAAAGTTAGGGCCTTCTCCCTGAATGAGGAACTGAGACCTGCCAATCGCAGTGTCTTCCTCAAGTTTAAGGTACGTCTGATGCTTCACTTGAAAAAAAAAAAAACACAACTGGGGCCGAAACACAATTCTGTGCTGTGCTACTCAATCTGTGACCTTTCGACTCACAGGACCCCGATCAGCAGACAGTGGACATCGTAGAGATGCTTGATCTCAACAATGGAATTCCAACGATGCAAAACCCCTTCAAGATCCCCGTCAAACCAAAGTAAGGAATTCAAAATTCAACATCTCGCTCTGGCATCTGTTGACGTTGCTGTTGTTGAATTGTCCTTCTTTTGACTCCAGGTTGGGGCTTTGGTCCATCGAAGCGGCCTACTCTAACGATTTTACCACAACCGCGAAGACGAGCTTTGAAGTTAAAGAATATGGTATGAAAATACTACATACTTTATAAACCGATAAAAAAAATTTAACCGATGTTACAACTTACCGATATCAATCTATTGATGCTGTTGCTGAGGCGATAGTATCCCAGTTTACGGTACGTCACGAAAACGTTAAGTTAATCTTAGGTATCGGATCAGACGTGGTACAGTTGGGTTTCTTTTTTCTTCGATGTACGATTTTGAAATTTTGACCAATATTGGACGTTACCGAACCCTGAGTATCGGACTAAGCCATCCCTTATTCGCATCCTGCCGCAGTTCTCCCAAGTTTCACCATCCTTGTTGAACCTCGAGTGAACTACATCAGCTTCGGAAACTTTGACGACTTTACCTTCAAGGTCTCCGCCAGGTGAGTGAACATGCCCAAACAGTCAGCGCGATGATACAACAGCCTGCATGCTAAGAGCGTAGCTCTCAGGGAACACGTGTGACCGATCTGCCTCAGGTATCTTCACGGGGCTCCAGTGGCTGACGGAGAGATGTTTGTCCGCTATGGTTACGTCAGTGGTAGCAGTCCTCCGGTTATTATCCCCAGCTCGGTCACCAGACACAGAGTAAGAAAGCCGACACACCCTCAGGCAACCATATTGTTGGTTACTTCCTATTGTTTGATTATTTGAATTATGGAGGATGATCGGTTTCATCGTTGTCTGTGTTTCCTCCAGTTGTCCTCATCAGGTGAAATCGTCATAACCGCTAACATGGAGAAGATTCTGTCCAAACACGAAGGACCTAAAGATCTCAGAAGCTTGGTGGGGAAGTACTTGTACATCGCTATACTGCTGGAGGAAGACACAGGTACTGACATATCTTACAGCTAACCCCATCACGGTGTGTCTAACCATATTAGTCAAGATGCTAACATCACCGTACCGCTAACGATCCCTTGCGCATTTACCCCCTCTTTGTCAGGTGGCATCGCCGAGGAGGCAGAGTTTGCGGCTGTAAAGTTCGTCACTTCGCCTTACATCTTAAGATTCGTGTCTACGCCACCTTTCATCAAACCTGGACTTCCCTTAAATATACAGGTAGGTTTGCGATCCAGCAGCTACATTCTCGCTCAAAAAATCACGTAAAAACCCACATCGGAGGAGATACGTAGTCATTCTTCCTGGATCTCTTCTAGCCCCAGAGTTTTAATTAGATTAAATAGTTTCGCATATTCACAATGTCATGAAGTAATCCGTAGTAGCCATATAACAATGAATATTTATTCAACGAAGCAGGGACTGTTGTCGAAAAAAAATGTTTACTCTTTATATCTTTCATCGCAGGTTCTGGTAAATGACCATCTGGACGAGCCAATAAAAAATGTTCAGGTTCGCCTTGTTGATCAACAGCTGTTCAGAAATGGAAGGTTTGTTGACGATGAGCTCTGTCCCGAGAGCGCCACCAGTGGATCAGATGGCCTCGCTATTTTTATCTGCAACACACCGAGGGACGCACTCAAAGCTAATCTGAAGGTAAGGGGTATCGCATCTTATCTTCCAGAAGGTGCTTACGGTATAAGTTTATATATGCACATATATAAATAAATACGTAAATATATATTCATATATATCATAATAATTATTTACTTAGCCTTTTAGCAAATAGTTTACACTAAAGATGGTCTCCACATGGTCTAAAACCAAACCCCGTTGTGTTTAGCTATCATATCGCTGTGGCGGGATCGTCTAACGTCGGATTTGCTTGTTCCCCTCTTTTGTTTGTCCGTGTGTCTGTAACAGTTTGAGACAGCAAACCCGAACCTCCCGGGAGCCAGTCAAGGCACGCTGACTCTAAATGCCGTGGCCTACCAATCACCGAACCAGCGGTACATTTACATCGACCCTCTGGTGCCCGGTCAGGCCCTGGCCGTGGGACACTATGCCAACATCAAGGTGTATTTCGCGGCACCGGTATACGTGAACGTTAAGACCTTCGGTTACATGGTGAGAGGACACCACTGCTCGTCCGCAACGCCGGTGTGAATTGAAATATTGAATGCCTTATTCTCTACGCACAGGTGATCTCCAAGGGACACGTGGTGACCTACGGCACTCATAAATTTGGTACGGGTCTCGAAAACCAACAGACGCTAAATTTTGAGATAACGCCCGCCATGGTGCCCTCCATCAGACTCCTGGTGTACTACATCCTGTATGCGGAGGGTACGTCCGAGCTGGTGGCTGACTCCGTCTGGATAGACGTGAAGGAAAAGTGTGTCAACGGACTGCAGGTAAGTTGGTCCGTTGTCGCCACGACATTGATCGTTTGCTCCCTCTAGCGCAATTCTTAACAATTCTTAAAAACAGAAATTGACCCAAAAAAACAGGTTTACGGGCACATTTTTATGCTGAAGTACCTTTGTGAAACGGACCCTTCTGCTCACGGGGGTTGGGGGGCATTTTGAAGTGGTCCCCACTGAGAGTGAATATCAACCTGTGTGTGTGTGTGTGTGTGCGTGTGTGTGTTAGACTTCTTTTTCATCTCATAGGCGGGATTACAAGCCAAAGGAAAAGATCCAGCTAGATATCAGAGCCAATCAGGACGGACTGGTGGCTCTTTCTGCCGTAGACACCGCCCTCTTTTCCCTCTTGCCAAAACACAAAGACCCTCTTGTCAAGGTAATGACGTCCAAAACTTCTTATACGTCAATTTTATGGAATGATTTGATTTACGTTAGGGTCACAAAAAAAAAAAATCTGGTGGTCGTCAGGTTTTGCGTCACATCGAGGAAAGCGACCGGGGCTGCGGTGGGGGAGGGGGTCGAGACAGCACCGACGTCTTCCGACTTGCTGGCCTCACTTTCATCACCAACGCTAATGCCGAGCCGTCGGACGGCAGTATGTCACTCACGAAGCCCTTGAGCACATATTTTTTTTTATGTTCTTGAAATCAGAGTAATCCGTTTTTTGTTTGCAGCCCAACCCTGCACGGCGTTGGTGCGTCCAAAGAGGGCGCCGACTAACGAGGAGAAGAGGATAAAAGGCAAGTCCTTCCCACACAAACATCACAGCGTTCTGAATACAATCCCCTGATTATTAAAATGGATTAAAAAGATGAGCCCCAATGCTGCCATCTGGTGGCTTTTACTTTTCACATACAGCCGTTTTTCCCCAAAACTATTTTTTAGGGCAGACATCAGGAATTGCGTTGTCGGGATTTCTTTAGTAGATTTTTTTGGAAGGAAAAACTGATAACGATTCTTCCCAAAATTACATAATTGTGCTACTATCGGTCGGCCGATATTATCGGACATCCCTAGTATTAATAGTTGCCCATTAGAAAACCTGTATTTTTTTTACTGTGATTACACTCCGAAAAATAAGTAATAAAAATGCAACGCATAACAGAGTCAGATACCAGGGTTCAAGGTGGGGAGTGACCAAAACAGTTTGCGAACCATTTGATAAAATGTCAAATTTATGTGTGTTTGTTTGTGTGCACCTGGCGAACGCAGCGGCAAGTTACGCCCATTTGAAATCCTGCTGCGAAGAAGGCATGCGCTACGTCCCGAAGATCATCACCTGCCTGGACTTTGCCCAGCAACGCTTCAGGAGAAGGTCGCATTGCAGCCGCGCCTTCCGAGAATGCTGCGAATTCATGCAGAGTCACATAGACGAAGAGGAAACCCTCGTCCTCGGCCGCTACAGTCAGTAGAACTTTATTTACTTAGCCTAATGACGAAGAAAAGCACAGATGCTAATTGCTACGTGGCTATATTGTGTGCGAAAAAAGATGGGAATGAAAACCAATGCAAAAACAGACCGGGAAAGTCCTGCGTCTTAAAAGATCAGATTTTTTTTTTCTTCTGTGTTCCACGCAACATTGTGCAAAAAAAAAAAAAAAAATTTAAATCTCCGTCTTGTTCGCAGAATTGGGTGGAGATTTTGAGGAGGCTCCTTCCCTGCTGCGGAGCTACTTTCCTGAGAGCTGGTTGTGGGAGGTGCAGCCGATCAGGTGACACGTAGCTTTAAACATCACGTTCTTCTACGTGTCAAACTCAAGGCCCGGGGGCCAAATGCGGCCCGCCAAGCCATCTACTAGACTCTATTCTGTGTGTGTGTGTGTTCAGGTCAGGCTCCGTGTCAGTCAGCAGAACTCTGCCTGATTCTCTGACCACCTGGGAGTTCAAGGCCATTGGCATCTACAAAAATGGCGAGTTTGTGTTTTTTTGTTTTTTTGGTTCTCTTTTCCTCGTTGTTGTTTCTTCTTGTTGAATTATTTATTTATACCCTAATTATATAGTAATTAATATCCTGATTTGGTTTAGGTTTTCTTTTTTGTCTTCACTCCATTGTGTAGCTCGCTTTCAAGTAAACTCTTTGAAAAAATATGACCAGGATGAATGAGACTCTTCACAGATTCATCCATCCATTCACCCATCCATCCATTATCCATCCATCCACCCACCCACTCATCATCCATCCATCCAACCATCCATCTATTCACCCATCCATCCATCCACCTATCCACACATCCATCCATCCACCTATTCACCCATCAATCCACCTATTCATTCATCCACCCACCCACCCATCCATCAATCCATCCATCCACCTATCCACACATCCATCCATCCACCTATTCACCGATCCATCCATCCATCCACCCATCCATCTATCCACCCACCCATCCATCCACCTATCCATTCTCCCATCCATCCACCTATTCACCGATCCATCCATCCATCCACCCATCCATCAATCCATCCATCCACCTATTCACCCATCAATCCACCTATTCATTCATCCACCCCCCCACCCATCCATCCATCCATCCATCTATTCACCCATCCATCCATCTGTCGATGCATCCATCCACCCATCCATCCAACCATCCATCTATCCACCCATCCATTCATCCACCCATCCATCCACCCATCCATCCATCCATCATCCACCCATCCACCTATTCATCCATCCATCCACCCACCCACCATCCATCCATCCACCCATCCATCTATCCACCCATCCCTCCATCCACCTATCCACCCACCCATCCATCCACCCATCCATTAATCCATCCATCCACCTATCCACACATCCATCTATCCACCTATTCATCCATCCACCCATCCATCCATGTACCCACCCACCCATCCATCCAACCCCCCCCCCATCCATCCTTCCACCCACCCATCCATCATTCATCCAACTATCCACCCATCCATCCATCTATTCACCCATCCATCCATCTGTCCATGCATCCACCTATTCACCCATCCATCAATCCATCCATCCACCTATTCACCCATCAATCCACCTATTCATTCATCCACCCCCCCACCCATCCATCCATCCATCATCCACCCATCCACCTATTCATCCATCATCCATCCATCCATTATCCATCCATCCACCCACCCATCCATCCACCCATCCATCAATCCATCCATCCACCTATCCATCCACCCATCCATCCACCTATCCATTCTCCCATCCATCCACCTATTCACCATCCATCCACCTATTCATCCATCCGTCCATCCATCCATCCACCCACCCATCCATCCACCCATCCATTAATCCATCCATCCACCTATCCACACATCCATCTATCCACCTATTCATCCATCCATCCATCCTTCCATCTATTCACCCATCCATCCATCTGTCCATGCATCCACCTATTCACCCATCCATCAATCCATCCATCCACCTATCCACACATCCATCCATCCACCTATTCACCCATCCATCATCCATCCATCCATTATCCATCCCCCCATCCACCCATCCATCCATCATTCATCATCCATCCATCCCCCCCCCCACCCATACATCCATCCATCTATCCACCCATCCATTCATCCACCCATCCATCCACCCATCCATCAATCCATCCATCCACCTATTCACCATCCATCCACCTATTCATCCTTCCATCCACCCACCCACCATCCATCCATCCACCCATCCATCCACCTATTCACCGATCCATCCATCCATCCACCCATCCATCCACCCATCCATTAATCCATCCATCCACCTATCCATCCACCCATCCATCCACCTATCCACCCATCCATCCATCCATCAATCATCCATCCATCCATTATCCATCCACCCATCCATCCAACCATCCATCTATTCACCCATCCATCCATCTGTCGATGCATCCATCCACCCATCCATCCAACCACCCACCCATCCATCCAACCACCCACCCATCCATCCTTCCACCCACCCATCCATCATTCATCCAACTATCCATCCATCCATCCATCTATCCTTCCACCTATCCATCCATCCACGCATCCATCCACCCATCCATCCAACCATCCATCTATCCACCCATCCATTCATCCACCCATCCATCCACCCATCCATTAATCCATCCATCCACCTATCCATCCATCCACCTATTCACCATCCATCCACCTATTCATCCTTCCATCCACCCACCCACCATCCATCCATCCACCCATCCATCTATTATCCATCCACCCATCCATCCACCTATTCACCCATCAATCCACCTATTCATTCATCCACCCACCCACCCATCCAACCATCCATCCATCCATCCATCTATCCTTCCACCTATCCATCCATCCACCTATTCACCGATCCATCCATCCATCCACCCACCCATCCATCCACCTATTCACCATCCATCCACCTATTCATCCATCATCCATCCATCCACCCACCCATCCATCCACCTATTCACCATCCATCCACCTATTCATCCTTCCATCCACCCACCCACCATCCATCTATCCACCCATCCATCCATCTATTCATCCATCCTTCCATCTATACAGCCATCCATCCATCTGTCCATGCATCCATCCACCCATCCATCCAACCATCCATCTATTCACCCATCCATCCATCCACCTATCCACACATCCATCCATCCACCTATTCATCCATCATCCATCCATCCACCCACCCACCATCCATCCATCCACCCATCCATCCATCATCCATCCATTATCCATCCATCCACCCACCCATCCATCCACCCATCCATCTATTATCCATCCACCCATCCATCCACCTATTCACCGATCCATCCATCCATCCACCCACCCATCCATCCACCCATCCATCCAACCATCCATCTATTCACCCATCCATCCATCCACCTATCCACACATCCATCCATCCACCTATTCACCCATCCATCCATCCGTCCATCCAGCCATCCACCTATCCACTATCCATCCATCCACCCGTTCATCCACCTATTAACCCATCCATTCCGTCCATCCATCCATCCATCCATCTATCCACCCATCCATCCACCTATTCACCCATCAATCCACCTATTCATTCATCCACCCACCCACCCATCCCTCCCTCCTTCATCATCCA